GACGAAAACCCGGCTGCCAAAATGCTGCTCGTAAAAAATGTCTGTCCTGGATGTAAGATGCTTCTAGGGGATGAGGTGGACTGGGGTCCGCTCTGCTGGTCGGGAACGCCTGCTCCTGGCCGCCTTGCGCCCCTCTGCTTCTTCCCCTCCATCATTTTTCACCTCTTGGGTTTGGTTTTGTTTTGTTTTGTTTTCCAAATCTCCCTCCTTCTCCCAAAAGAAACTTCCTCCCCCCCCAAACAGTTTGTAAATAGAACTACACCTACGTAGTCTAGAAGAAAAGGTGGAACCATACTGAAGCAAGATAGCTCTTTTTTTTGGTCATCTTGAGGTTTTGGTTTTTTTTCTTCTTCTTCAGAAAACACTGTCATTGTCACCTTGTGCTCTGTCGGGGTGGTGGGAATTTCTCAGCCAGCCCGTGATGGACCCCGGGTTGAATTCCCCGCTACCAAAACTTGCCACGGCCCCTTGGCGCTGTTTTGGAAACAACCTTTGGCTTCTATCCCTGTAATCTCTCCTTTTGCCGTCGAGGTTTTTGCGTGACGTGAAAAGCTGAGCTGCCGTGTCCCTCGATGGTGGCACCTGGTGCCTCGGGGCCTGCCGGTGACCCTCCGTGCCGAGTTTTTCCCGACCCACGGGTCAGTTTGGCGGATGCAGAAGGATGCTGGCACGGGGACAGGCTGGAGCAGAGCTTTGCTGTCAGCCCCGTAGGGCACGGGCTTGTCCTCCGGCCTCCACTGTGTCCATGGTTGAACCCCAACCCATCTCTCTCTTCTTCACACGTCTACCCATCTCAACGCGTGCCGGAGAGATGGGGCTCCCCTTCCCATCCCTGCCCGGTGGGTGTCATCCCTCGGCAGGGACCCTCCTCGCAGACCATGGGGAAGGCTGGGAGGTGTTTGACGATTTTCTCTTTTGTTTTTGCTGCTTTTTTGCTCGTCCAAGTTCTGCTGGCACTTTAGCGGGGGTATTTGCAGCATGAGAAATGGCCATGATTTTACTGCCTGTGTTTGGTACCTATCGTGTGATACTTGAAGAGGTCAGGGGCGTTTTGCCCTTTGTTTGAGTCGGCTCTTTATTATCTTTTTTCTTTTTTTCTCCTCTTTTTCTTGCGTTGTTGATGTAGTGGGCACATCTGCCGCCCTGACAAAATGCCTCTTCTCTAAGAGTATAACCTCTCCAATAGTTGTGTATAATTAAAGAACTGTAAACTTTTTTTAAAATAAAATATGTATATACCTTGAAGCTTGGCTGGTGCTTGATCGCCGAGAGCTTGGTCATGCAGGAAAGACCTTGGGACCTTGCGGCGTTGACTCTGCATCCCACCAGGACCTCACCCGTGGCCCACCTATGCCAGATCAAGCCCGTGCCGGGGCATCTTCTGCCTAGAGATGATCTGCTGGAGGTGGAAGCAGAGGTTGTTGCACACACCCAATGCGCCGATGGTCGTGCTCGGGGTAGCCAGCTCCTTTCTCCAGCTATTTGCAAGCGGCGGGGTGATGTCCTTCCGTGCCCAGTGACCGCGGCCACGGCACCGAAGCTGATTTTCAGGGTCTTGGGCTGGAAATGGGAGATCAGTGCAGCCACGGGGCCTCCGTCCCTCCCCGTCCCTCCGCCTGTGCAGCCTCGTAGGGTGGATTTCTTTCGAGGTCTCTTCTTGCAGCAGGACAAGTCATTACAGGTGACGCTGCCTGAGACGCCGCAGCCGTCGTGGGAGCCGTGTTTGGTGCCCTGGGCCTGTAATTATGGCAGAGGTGGCTGTTTTCTGTATAATCACGCATAATTTTGGCTTGATGTTTTGTGGGGATTGGGGTAACGTATTCAGGGGATGTGACCAGGAGTGGGAACAGTTCAAGGATGCCCGAGTTGGTGTTTTGGGGCTGTGGGTGAGCCAGGGAAGGGGACAACACCCTGGCATGTGGCTTGTCCTCATCCTAGTTTAACTTGCTGCAGCTGCTGTCCCAAATTTGCTGGAGCTGAGCAAGACCTTCCTCGCCATCATCCTCCTCCCCGCACCCTTCCCTTGCTCCAGCCAGGGCTGTTTTGTCACCCTAGGACCCAGCTTGGGGACAGGGCGGTGGGTCCGTGTCATGCCAGTGCCACCTGCTGCCAGCACCCAGCCTGGCAGCCCTGAGGACCTTCGTGTGATGCTGGGGGGGTCACCTTGTCCCAGTGCCACCTCTTGGGGCCACCAGCCCTTTGGGCGCTGCCCCTTGCCCTGGGGAGGGAGCAGAGAAGGGGGGACAGCCCTATATCCCCCCTGCTGTGTGTGTCCCCCCCCCTTTCAGGGGAGCTTTTAGGGCCAGCTGGGGGTGGCACTGTCCCCTCTGCCCAGCAGGTGGCCCCCGTGCCACACCAGTAGCCTCCCACTCTGCCCAGGACAGGGTAGCGCTGGCCCCGGTGCTGGGTTCCCTCCCTGTCCCCTGGATGTGGCCCCATCGCTGCTCTGTCCCCTGGGTGACCAGTGCCACCCAACGTCCTCCCTCGGAGTTTGGAGCTCGGCTCGGCCTGGCCCGAGCTCCCGCGGGGCCCCGGGAGGTGGGTGCTGCTTGGGGGGGGGGGGGGCCCGGGCGGGGGGGACAGGGGGGAGAGGGGACCTTGTGCGGCTGTGGGGGTGGGGGCTCAGTGCTGGGGTGACATGGGGAAGAGGGACCCATAGCTGGTGGCGGGTGCTGCTAGGTGCTCCCGGGAGCCACCAGAGGCCTCGTCCATCTGTGTCGATGCCGAAGGGCCTCCCCAGGTCCCCCCGGGCTCTGGGTACCTTCCCCATGGGGCTGTGAGTGACATCCCTGTGGGGCTCTGGGTGCCATGCCCAAGGGGCTTTGGGTGCTGTCCCCATGGGGCTCTGGGTGCCATGCCCAAGGGGCTTTGGGTGCTGTCCCCATGGGGCTCTGGGTGCCATGCCCAAGGGGCTTTGGGTGCTGTCCCCATGGGACTCTGGTTGCCATCACCACAGGGCCTTGGGTGCCATCCCCGTGGGGCTCTGGGTGCCATCACCATGGCCGCGCAGCCCCTGTGACGAAGGGGGACGAGCCAGTGCCGGCAGGCACTCAGGGCTCCCCGGTCTCAGGGCTGCTCACGGGGTGACCAGGGCGTTGCCTCCCCTCCCAGCTTTGTCCCCGCGCTGGGTACCAGGACCTTTCACCGTGGGAACTGCTCCCCGTTCCCCTTCGGGACCCAAAGGACTTTGGGGGCTGCCCCGGCTGAGGGGTGCTGCACACCCATCCGGATGCGACCCCGAGGGATGCCAGCACTGCAGCCTGCCCCAGGCCGCCAACCCCAGGGGAACGTGCACCTCTGAGCCCCAAGCGGGCACTGAGACGGGCCACTTGCGGTGACCCCAAGGGCCACGGGGGATACCTGAGCCTGCTCCGCCTGCCCCACGCCAGCTCCGGTTACGGCCCGAATTGTTCCTCCCGCCTGGAAGAAATGCCGTCAGCGCTGGCGGATCGGTGGCCATTACTAATGCATGATACTCCGGCAGGAGACGGCTGTGCCCGACCCCCCGCAGTGGGGCTGGGGCCCCCCCCTGAACCGCCTGTGCCCCTCAGGGAGGGCAGGAGGGACAGAGGCGGGTTTGGGGAAGGGTCTTGCTCCCTCCTCACTTCATCCGGGCCCCGAACCCTGGCTCAGGCCAGCACTGGACGCGCCTGTCCAATGCAGCAGGGCCTGGTAAACACGCGTGCCCGGCTGGAGCGCGAGCATGGTGGGGCTGGGGCTGTAGCCGTGCTGCCAAACGGGTCTTGCCCAAGA